AAAACGCAGCTGCGCCCCGGTTTCACCGCGCCCGTCCCACTGGGGGTGACGCGATCCCGCATGGATCGAACTCCACAGAAAACGGCGTCGGGGGGTAAAATATACGGCCTCCCCGTCGGGGAATCGAACCCCGGTCTCCCGCGTGACAGGCGGGGATACTAACCACTATACTAACGAGGATGGGGCACTTTCATTTTCGGCGCCCCTGTAAGGGTTGGTTCTGTCCCCAGTCGGTCCCGCAGGAACTGCTTCCCCCAGGGCCAGCGCGGGAGGGGCAGAGCGAGGAAACGGCAGAGTGGGACAGAGCAGTGTGAACACCACACTCGGGCCGTGGTGTCTATATATAGACTGTGCAGAACCAAATTCATAAGGAGGGGATGTAGCTCAGTGGTAGAGCGCATGCTTTGCATGTATGAGGCCCCGGGTTCAATCCCCGGCATCTCCACTTTTTGCCCTACATCACGGCTTGTCTTCGTTTTCACTTGCTCTCTAATCCTTCCTAGAGGATCCGCAATTTCCAAATAGACTCCTTATTACTGGTCCTTTAATCCCCTCCCCCAAGCACAGAGCAGTTTGCACACTTCTGCTGCAATTCTTGCTAGAGGAAGGTGCCCTGCCCAGAGCCTCCAGCACCCTCATGGCTCAGATTATCACCAAACACTGTCACTCAACTCATAAACAGTGAGGACCTGGTTTTGTTTTTGTTCAGAAACAAAAGTTGCTGTTTCATCAGCTTTAGACATTTGTAATGCTCACTAGTGCCCTGGCCTCTCCCGTGCAGTGCAGGGAAGGGGTGGGAACAGTGGACACAAATCCAGCCTCTTCTGTGGTTAGGTACACCAGTTTCCTCCAGAACACATGAACCAAAGAGTCTTACACTCCCTTACACTGCAGTGCCACAAGCATAACACAGCCTGAGCACTGGGTCAACCAAAACCAAAAAAAGATCAGGTGAAACAGAGATAAACTCAATCCCTACATCTTCTTCTAGCACCACCAAAATGTATTGCTGCAAAATGAGCAGATGGTGTGGTTAACGTTTGCCCTGTTTCCAGAAAGCTGCTGCGTTCCCCAAAGTGCTGCAGCCCACGAAACACAGGTGGCTCAGGAGCACCAGTACAACACAGCACTGGCAAACCATGTGGCAAAGGTTCCAGGAGATCCAAGTGCCTGCAGCACCAAGCCTGGAATGAGCAGAGATCTTAAGATTACTGAAAGCAAGATTAATGGGTACCCTGAACTGATGGCAAACTCCTTGCTTGAGAAGCAGGAAAAGAACAGTTAGGTCTGTACTGGGCCTGGCTGGGCTGGAGTTGCTGGTTTGGATTTGTGACTCACAGTGCTGACAACACACCAGTGGTTTGGGCTGTTGCTGGGAATTGCTTGCACAGAGCCAAGGATTTCCCTTTTTCCCTGCCTCTGCTTCCCCTAGGAGCCAGCTGGGGGTGGGCATGATGCTGGGAGGGGCACAACCAGGACAGCTGACCCGAGCTGGCCAAAGGGCTAGTGCTAGCCCTGTGGTGTCCTGCTCAGACAACAGCAGGTCAGTGCCTGGGACGTGGTGACAGCTCATCTTCACATCATCTAGATTTTAAACTCTTCTTCTTTGTATTTTCCCCTTTACTAATTCAACTATTTTTATCTCACTTTTGTGCTTCCTGCTCTGACCTGCTGGCCAGGACCAACCGACCACACCAGGCCCAAAGGTTCTGTCTGCATGTAGATCTGCAGCCACAGATGAAGAAGAGCCTACACAGGTCTGAAACTCTGCTCACTGCAGAAACAGAGAACATTTCTCCCATCCAGACCAAGAACTTTACACATTTATTATCGTTTGTATGACTAATATAGTCCAAAGAGAAGCTTCATATAAAAAAACCCCCAACCATCTGTAAAATACAATGGATAAAATTATCCAAGCATTAATATTACAAAACACCAGCCAAACAGCTAGTAGGGCTTCTGGGAACACCCAGGGCTTCCCAGAAAAACACCTGGTTTGCTTATAAAAAGGAATCACTACAGCTGGCGAGTTCGTCTGTGTCATCAGATTTCCAAGGAAGCTCTTGGAAAGCTCTTGAAACATCTTGGAGAAAAAGAGTCCATCAGGAATGGAGTCAGAGTGTTACTGGTGGCCACTTCTGGGCTACTTCATCGTGCATGGCCTCAGGGATCCACTGGCGGTAGGCTGCGAGCAAATCTGGAATGCAAGTGGAGCAGTTAGATGGCTCTGGGAGTCAGGGACTGAGGAGAGCTGCAAAAACAATCCTGTGGGATCACCCTGCTCACAGGCTGGGAGCAAGAAACAGCCTTCCACCCCTGGGACAGTGCTTGGACACTAGCATGCAGGTGTAACAGCATCCAGTGTGGGAGAATCACTGTGAGCCATCACTGCATCCCTTTGCTGCTGCTCCTATAAACAACTCCTACAATTTTGGTACCCTAGGATTGAACAAATCCACTCTACCTGGAAAAAAAATGGTTCCTGTTTCCACAGACAGAATCAATGGAGTCTAATTTTTCAAAGGGCCAAACCAAACATTTTAACTGTGGTTACAACTATAGAAGAAAAATCATAGAATACAAATAAATGTTGCTTTTCTGAAGTACAGGAACTCCAGCTCTTCACAACAAACAAAGGGCATTACTGCTTCTGGAAAGAAAACTGAGTATTTGGAGCTTATCAAGTGATATAGTCCATTTTTTAAAACTAGAATTTGACAGTGTTTGAGGTACTACAAAGTCTGCACTGATGTGACTAAAAATTAAGCAAGCAGAACACTCACATTTAGGATTTTTCTTCCATGCAGCTAGTAAAGCATCTCGATTGTCACAATTTTCTGCAACTAGAGCCTGCAGGAGAGATTCTGTCCTGGGCTGAAGCCTGAATCATGAGATGAAAAATAAAACAATGCTCATTAGCACAGTTTAGCAAAGCATTACAGCACTTTGTGCTCTTAATATTCTTGAAAGGCTAAATACAGATGTACAAACACACAACCTCTGCACACAGAGACATGCAGCTGGCTCAAGAAAGTTCACTGCTATGAGTTTCTTCCCCCTACCACAACTTTTTGTGGTTCAAAGTAGCAGCAGGTTGCTCTTGTGTCTGCTGCTCAGTTGCAGAGCACAAGGTAAGGCAAAAAGGAATCCCCAGGTCTCATACTGAGCTCTGAATTGACTAAAAAAGGAAAACACTTGCTCATTGTAGGAGCCTCAGGTATCATCAGTCATTTTTAACAAAGTCTTCCAATAATCTTTGCATCTATTAACTCCATGAAAAGTCAGAGAAAGTTTATTCTGGTGAGGGGAGAATGAGGGGAGAGCAAGGGCAGTGATATCTGACAGCCCTTTGGAGGGTCACAGGTCTATAAATGTAATCAAACCACCCAAAAAACATGGTTGGAAACATGTTTTTGAAAAGAAATAAAGGCAAAAAAATTAGCCAAACTGCACAGAAAAGCAAGGAGAGCAGCAGTGCATGTGTGAGCAGCACAAGGGTCAGTGACCAGCAGGCTGTGTCCTCCCTCACAGTCACCCAACTCTCCTGAGACACCTTTTTCCTTGCTATGAAAACTCCTTTTCCTCACCCTGCAGCTCCAGCCAAGATCTCTATCTACAACACCCTTCCCAGCATTGAATTTTTTTTAATTTAAAAAGGAAGCAAGAAGTGTTTGTCATAGAGACAACAACCTGAAGTTTGTTTTAACAACTTACTTGGACCATGTCTTCAGCATTATGAGGGGACTGGACAGCAGGTACTGGCTGTAGGAACTCAGCTGTTTAATGACCTGGAAGATTTTTTTAGAACAGTATGTAATAAGCAAGGTCAATTTATTGTTCCATGGAGACAAACATCAATGAACTTGTACTACTGTAAGTTCCCATCCCTGTACAGCTATTAATTTTCATCCCATATTCTCCATTACCATGTCTCTCCCATCCACATCTCCATACCAGTCTTGTCCTGACTGGCTTGTTAGACAACTCTTATGTGTCAAAATGGACAGACATGAACATAGCTTTTTACCTTTGCAAAAACAGGATTTGAATTTGGGTGCCTCTTTCACTCCAATATTGATTGTCAGGCTTTTTTTATTTATTTTAAAGTTATTTTCCCCATCCCATCTCTTTCACTCCAATATTGATTGTCATGCTTTTTTTACTTATTTTAAAGTTATTTTCCCCATCCCACCAATTGCAGCAAAGTCTTTAAGCCACCAACAAGTTATGAGGAATGGAGACACATACAAAAGAAGCCACAAGGCTCATCTCCTCCAAAAACTGGGCTAAAAACTTACTGATAACATCAAGCAAGTGATGCAGCTGGAACACACTCACCTTTCCTTCAAGCAGGAACCTGGCAAAGTATTTGTAGCGATCAATACCCTCTGGGTAATCAACCTCCACAGCAGGGAGCTCCCAGCTAACTCGGTCTGGAAACAAACATCACACTGAGTCTCCTAAATACTCCAAGAGGAGGTGACACTTCCACGGAGGGGTCACCACACAGGTGCTAAGAGAAGTGGGGAGGACACTGCCACCACTCAGCCCTCACAGGGGGAGCAATGGGTCCATAAAATGCTCATTTCTATGGGAAGATGCCAATATTTAAATGCTATGAACCCCATGGGGCTTACTCCAACCACTGTTAAGCTCTTTGAACAGCCCAAACTGAGCTTGACCTTCCTGGTGTGCTGACAGCCTTGTTAAACCAGCAGTACAGTAACTGCAGAGCAGCTCTTGGACAAAACTACTAAGGGACACTTTGAAGACACTCACAAAAGACACTGGGCCTGTGACATCGGATTCGGCCTGTCTCAGGGCAGTAGGATGGAGGAGGATTTTCCAGAGGCTTCCCAAAGTGGCAGTATGGTGGCAACAGGGCAGGAATCCACTCAGGTTCCACTGCAGACACACCTTAGGAGGGAAAAACATAGGTTTGCTGCCAAGGGCCACCACTCACTAGCAGCCCCACGAGTACAGTGCACGGTCAGGATCTCATCTCCACACATTTACTTGTGTCTCACTTTTCAAGTCAACTTTTTTTTGTCGTAAAAAATATTACAAAGCTGTTCAGAGACCAGCAGTGAGTAACTGTTGTGCTATTTCAGAAGCTGAGCACTGCCCCAGGCAATTCTGCTAGACAAAGGAAAAACCAGGCCAATTTATTCTCTGATCCAGACCTAGAAAGCATAAGGATCGAAATCCCAGGAGTCAGGACCACTCTGTAAGGAGAGCACTCAGTCACCACAGCAGGGAAACTCTGTCAAGGCATTTCTGAGTCCCTCACCAGACCTGCAGCACCAAGTCTGCGCTGTAGCAGTCTCACCTTTCATGTACATCTTTGTAGTCTCAACAATTTCCTGATACACCACAAACTCTGGGAGTTCTTTGAAGAGGACTGAGCTTGGGTGGATGAACACTGGGTCCTCCAGGAGAGCAGTCTGTAAGGAAACACAGAAGACTGAAGCAGACTAAGATGAGTTACTGGCAATCTTATTCCTTGACTGCATCCAATCTCAGTCTCAGGTGTACAGTTATACAGTTTCCTTAAGAGATGGAGATTTATAACACCATCATTTTCTGCTTCACCTTCTCTGGAGATATCAAGCACTTTGCAAGATGGACTAATGCATCTTCTTAGCTCTTTTATAAACAATTCCAACACGAAGATCAGGAAATTGCAACACTACAAACCTAAATTCTAAGAAGAGAAGTTGCAGAAAGGCAGCACAGGCAGCCCCAGGGCTGCACCCAGTCACAAGCTCTGGCTTTGCAGAGCGTGTCCTTCTGCCATGTAGGGGAGAAGGAATTTGGTCAAATCAAGATGTTTACCTTATAGGCATTTTTCCATTTTTCATCTAGGAGATCTTCTGCCTGAACCTTTCGGGCAACATGATCCCCCAGCCCTGCCAGCACAATCTGCCTCAGGTATGTCACTTGAGCTTCTGTTGGAGGCTTCATCTTCGGATCAACATAGAGCCCAGAATCTGCACAGACCAAGTTCACTGTGGGCAGAAAGAGGTGAGACAAGATTCAATAGGAATAAAAGGTTGCACTAAACAGCCCAGCTGATGTGTCATCCCCCCAAAACAGAACAAACAAAAGCCACTGACCTGCAGTTGTCAGTTGCCCTCTCAAGCGCCTGATTTCCATCATGGCTTTGTATCGGAGTCCATTTTCTTCACAGAACTTAGGGGTGCACCCAGCATACTCACAGGCCCCCACTGCTCCTGGGAGTGAACAGACAGGTGGAGAAAACAACTTTAATTAACAGCTTTAATTAAACCAAGTCTGGGACAGCTCTGCCATAGTCAACATGGGCACATATTGTAGTTTCCACTTGGCATGAGCCTGGGACACTGGCAGGGTGTCCAGAGAAGAGCCCAGAAAATACACTGCTGGAGTTAGTCCTACAGCACGAGGCTTTGGGTGTACAAACTGAGGGCTCAGGGTAATGGAGGAGAACAGAATGAAGTTAACAGTGCAGGGAAATCAGGGTCTGTGATACCTAACATCACCATGAGGTCTCCGAGTTTCTGCATCGGTCCCTGCCCAGCCCACACCTTCTGCATCTGTACAAGCCTTGCTCTCTTCCCCTTCAGCTGGGCTGTCTCTTCCTCACTTACAGCAGGCCTAAAAGAAACCCAGGTCCAGCATCAATGAGTGCTGTGTGTACGTGCAGAGGAGCCTCAATGAGAGAGGCATCAGCTGTGACAGGTGATGCATCCTGTGAGGATGTCAGGCTCACCCACTCACCTGTCAAACTCTTCAAAGAGCTCCCTGACAGTCATGGCAGACACGATGGTGATGGTGTAGGGCAGGCAGTTGTGCTGCCTGCTTAATGCCAACATCTTGGCATAGCGAGGGGCTACAGGAAAAGTGGCCATTATCCTGCCCAGGGGACTAATGGGGCAGCTCAGCTTTGCTGCCAGCTGCTGCTTCAGCCTGGGGGAGGAAAAGAAAACTCATGTAATGAGGTAACTTCTGCATTAGAACAAGTTTGTGTTCCTGGTTTTGGCAGCCCAATTAATTTGATGTGTTTTCTCAGTTTCCATTATGTGCTGGCCCCAAAGGCTGGGGAAAGACTCCTCTTCCTTGTGCAGTTCCCACCTGTCCTGCATGGCACACTCCCAGCACAGTCTTTCCCTGTCCAACCAGGCCCAGGACCAGTAAAACAAACAGAGGTGAAGCAGAGACTGAAACGATGCCAGTCCCTGTACCAAAGCCCACCCTGAGATGCGAGGGCTGAGCTGGAAAAAGAGGTGGGAGGACAGCAATGCCCACAGGATTGACAGCAGAGGAAATCTGTGGGGATCCACAGACATTACCTTCCCTTCTTTGGAGGCTCCTTCAAGGCACCCAGGGCTATCAGCAACTCCTCAGCTGCTGCAAGTGCTTCCGTGGGAGGTGGTGTTGGGAATGGGAAGTTGATTACCTACAGACACCAAGAGAAAATGCCCCTCAGTACAGCTCTGACACAGCTCTCACTGAAAAACAGCCTGAACGCACCAAAAAACTCTGGCACGGAGCTAAACCCTCCCCTCTGGTTACATGTACCAAAGGAAAACATTTAGGATGGTTGCCAGGAGAGAGAGGAAAGGACACATAATGGGAGGAAATGCTTAGAACAAAAACATGAGCAAACAGGAATACCAGCGTCACCCTCAGCTGTCACTGCCTGCAGGCACCACCTAGGGCAGGCAGCTCTGGGTCTAACCTGAACTACTGTGCTTTCTCAAAGTGCTCCAGCATCTCCAAAACACAGACCTTGTCTGGACAGGCCTTTTTTAACCTTACTACCTGAACAAACAGATCTGTTAAGGCCTGGTGGTGGAATTCAGAGCAGCTTCTGCAATTTGCAGAACCAAAATCAAGTCTCAGCATCCTAATTCCTAACCCAAGGCACAGCCTCGAGCAATCAGTGACATTTCTACTTGTTTCTGGCTCCAAGGGGCAACCCCTTTAATGAGTGCTGTAGCACAAAGCCATTTCCACCTCACCTTTTCTATATTTAATGCCTTCATTTGCAGAATTAAATCTTCTACCGGTCGCTTCGTTATTTCTGGAGCTGAAAATTTCTCGAAGTCCATGAAGACTGCAGAAGAGTATAACCTGGTGGACCAGAAGTGCTGTTTAGAATCTTAAAGGAAATCTTAATTCACAAGATATGCATGAAAAATTGGCCTTTAAATAAACAAGGCAATTGTGGTTATTATATACATAACCATGTCATTGTTGACATGGTTAACTTGTTCACAAGTTGACTCGGCTTGGAGTTAATTCCATGTTAATCTGGCCACCAAAATAAGAGTTTACAGCAAGAGAAGCCAAACTGTCAAATCAATATCACCAGTGATAGTTCATGTCTGGTTTCACCTCTCGTATTTGAATCAAGGGCAGACAAACCCAAAAAGTCCCAAGTAGCACAGTGAAAGGGGCAGCAGGATGGGGAAACTGGTGAGTTCCCACTACAGTTTCCCCTGAGGCTGTGCCCAGCAGGTAGCTGACCTGTAGCAGTGCCCTGGCTCGGTGCGGCCGGCGCGGCCAGCACGCTGGTTAGCCGAGGCCTGGGATATCCACGTGACCCTGAACGACGAAACTCCAGTGATTTTGTCATAGAAACGTTTCTTCACCTTCCCACAGTCAACCACGTATTTGATGCCTGGGATGGTAAGGGATGTTTCAGCCACATTGGTGGCCACCACACACAGTCTCGTGCCAGCAGGAGGAGGCCTGAATACCTACAGGAGACAGATGGGAGCGTGAGGTGCAGTGCCAACAGCGGAAAAGGACAGGGAATTGACTTGGATGGGCTGCAAAGGGATGACAGCACATATGTCACTGCAGGGCAAACCCAGGAATCCAAGCAGAGACTTCATGCTCTCTGTCTCCAGCTCTGCAGCTCTCTGTCCAGCTCAGCTAATCCTCAGAAACACCCACAGGGACTGCAGGTGGAGCAGACACCAGTGTGAGTCATGTTCAGCCATGCTGCTGCCTCCAAAGCCAAGAGGGAATGCAAAAATCTGTAGGAACTTCTTCTTGGAAGAGGGATCCCAACCTGCCCATGGCTAGGACTGATTTAACATGCTGCAGGACTGTCACTCATCATCATTCCCAACCTGCTGAAAACAGGTGAGGGCCAGCCCAAGCAAGGCCTGTCCCAATCCCATCCCAACTTGCCATTCAAGTGTACCCAACTGACAGATAGTCCAAGATGGGAATTTTAACTCTCTTGTGACTTTAGACAACGATAACACATCTGTAAGGATCATCTACTCATTGTGACAATAAATGCTTTACCTTTGCCTGTTTCTCTGGTGCCAACAAGGAATAGAGTGGGAGCACAAACCAAGGCCTGTCCCAATCCCATCCCAACTTGCCATTCAAGTGTACCCAACTGACAGATAGTCCAAGATGGGAATTTTAACTCTCTTGTGACTTTAGACAACGATAACACATCTGTAAGGATCATCTACTCATTGTGACAATAAATGCTTTACCTTTGCCTGTTTCTCTGGTGCCAACAAGGAATAGAGTGGGAGCACAAACAGTGGGAGGGATGAATCAGATTTCTCTTCTGTAAAGAAACAAACCAATATTGTTCAATACATGGTATATCAACTTCCAGGCTTAGTCCCAACAACATCTCCACAAACATCACTTCATTAAAACCAGTAAAGTAATTGGCACAAAGCTGAAGCTGGAAAACCTTAACAGCTTTTGCACAACACAGGTCTGCAGTGGTATCACAGTTCAGTGAAGGACAACCAGCTCATGTCACCCATTTCACAGGTGGAAGGAGGTAAAAGATGTGCCAAACCTTCTCCTGAGTCTCCATCTCCCAAATCCAGGTCAATATCAGACCCTGCAGCATCATCATCACTGTCAGCATCTCTGTCTTCATCTCCTTCATCTGCTGGTACCACAGAGTAATTGTTCAGATCAATTTTAGGGAGTGTCTGAGAAACACAGGAAAGACACCACAGAGGGTTAATGGGGGACATGAACAGCACTTTGCATTGCTTTGAAAGCAAAGCTGAGCACTTATTCCAAACATCTGTTGACCTGAAGGTGACATAGGGATTGAGAGATTCCACTGGTATTTAAAGGTTCAGCATTTGGCAACCGTGACACTTGGTGGGAAGTGACCCAAGTATTTTAAGCTTCCTTGGAGTAAAGTGGGAAAAGGTAAAATTTCTTTACCTCATGCCTTTCAGCTACCAGGATACAAAGTCAGTGGACAGTATACCTATAACACCAAGATCTCCCACTAACAAAGTGCATTTAGGATGTGGGTAGAAGGCAAATACTACCCTTCATTACCGATGCATCAGTCCCAGTTTGGGGTAACAAATGGCAAGATGAGGAGCAGCCCTGAAGCCAGGAAGTCTGGAACTCCTTTCATTAAAGGTTTAATGGCCAGTACTCAACCAAAAAAATCAATGTCCTGCCCATACCATCCATTTTAGCACTCTGTTGCTCCTGATGCAGCAGTCAGCAGTGTGGGCAGTACTGCAACTCCTGAGGGGACATGTGTTGGCTACAGGGCTTCATGCAAGTCTAAAAGAGAAGCTGAACACAGCTGCACCACAGCACTGTTTGCAGGGAGGAACCTGCTCCCTCCTGTCTCTTGGAGGAATCTTAGCCATCACACATTACCATAACTTTCCTCTGCTTCCTCGATTTTTTAAATTTTCTCATTTCTTCCACCGAGTCTTCTTTGTCATCCTCTCCTCCTACAAACACAGCCAGTGGGATAACTGTTAGCTGAACATGCTTTGCTCTTGGAAAGGCAGTGCAAGGAGTCTGGTCCCACTCCCACCTTTTTGGGGCTGCAAAGTGTCACAGTGTGAAAGAAGCCAAAAGTTACACTAAAGGCAGAGGGGACAGGGATGACACACAAATTTCATGTTATAATTCCATTTAGGAATTATCAAGGAGGATCAACAGCAAAGCACAGCAACTGTGTGTCTTGAAGTTTAGGATACAATTTGCTGAGCGATGTCAGAATTATTCTGGAAATTCCAGTCACCTGAAAATAAGTCACCAATAAACAGCAGCATTTCCTCTTTAATTCCCAACAGAGTAAGGGAAGAAATGCAATGGATTCTGGGGAACTCAAAGGGATTACACATAAACCTTTTCCCAGACTCAAACCAGCACAAACTTAATGACCAGTCATGAAAACCATCCACAATGAGCCTTTCCCCCAAGCCTTGGTTTTTGTGTTTATGAAATAAAAGCTCATATTCTGAGGTGCAAATCAAGCTCACTTCTCAGTGGGATAACTTGAGTTTAACAGTCCTGTATTCTATTGCATTACCTGCAGTGTTGTTTTTTTGGTATGGGAAGGCTTTTCTTAGTCTTCTGCAGAGAGAGTGAACTTCTGCCTGGCCTGTTAAAAACACCAAAATCCCACCTACAAGAGAAGAAACCACCGAAGCTCAGCACAGGTATTGCACCTTGGAAAGCTTCAGAGCCCATTCCTGACAAAAGACAGGTCAAATAGATCATGAAGCAACAAGGAGGAACAAGGTGTTTGACTGCATCTGTCTCCTACCACTCCCTAAGCACACTAGGGTTAACTTATGATTTAATTTCAGGGCAGTTTTCACAAGGAAAATCTTCTAAGTACAAGCAAACAACACATCATCGCAGCCCCACATTCAGCTTACAAAAAAAACTCACCCCAAAACAAAATCAGGTAAAGAAAAAAAAATCCTCCCAAAATAAAACCAACTTAATAACTTTAGACATGTTAAGTGCACAGAATTGGAGAGGTTCTCAGCAGTGACCTTACCTGAGGGCAACATTCGATGGATTTTGCACACTTTCCTGAAACATTCCCCACTGTAGTCATCCAGGGGGGTCTTCTTGTTGAAGTGGATGGTTACAGGGAATTGCCTTGCATCTACCTGGAGAGGGAATACAAAGAAAGGGTTTGTTTGCTGGCATAACTCCAGCACAAACACTAAAGTGTTCATGGGAGAACTAGAATAGCTCACTCCATATTTCTCTTCAGCTCTTGGTTTTGGGAGCCTACAAAACACCAGACCCACTGAAGTTACTGGTGTTGTCTACCTTGAACACCATAAACCCAAGCTAGAGACCAAAGCTTTTCTCCCTTTCAGATCATCGACTCAGATTGAAGCTTTCTAGTTCTCCTGAACCATAACCTTTTCAAGATAATCAGATTCTGCCAGGGTGGTTTTCTGATAAAAGTGGAAAGCAAAACACTCAGTCCCAAAAGAAACAATAGCCTATAACAAAATAACTATTTTTAAATTGGTATCTGCAAGGTTTCAGCACCAACTGGAAAGATTAGAGAGTCCCTGTTTTGTAGCTGGTTTTATAAAGGTCACCCTGTACTTCTGCCACTACATCTGACACACATCCCAGGGAGGAGAACAGTACCTGGATGACAGGAGGTTTAACAGCAAACAGCCTGTTGTTGTCAGTGAAATCCTCCACACGAAGAGTTGCTGACATGATGATCAGCTTCAGGGGAAGTCCTTTCTGCAGGGACACAAACCTGTCATGCTGTGCCCCACACATCTCCTCCCCAGCACTGCTGCTGGCAGCTTATGCCACTGCAACAAGAAGTATTGTGATTTCTACCAGGTTGCTGGGGTTCAATTATCTACCTATATCTCATGGCATCTCAAAGGAATTGGATCTTGCCTGAAAAGTCATCTGTTGGTTCTGATAGGCACTGTTTTCCCCTTCTTGTAGGCTCTGTATTGCTTATTCCATCATTTATGTGAGATTGCCATGAACTTCCACATCACAGAGTCCCTCCTGCCACAGTCTCTTCACATCCAACCCCTCTCTCCCCACACCTGAGTGTGACACTGCTCCTCACCTTGTGACGCAGCGGCACGATGCGAGACAAGAGGCCAATCAAGATGTCAGTGTACATACTCCTTTCGTGGGCTTCATCAATGATAATGACTTTGTACTTGGAAAGCATAAAATCCTGGGAAGAGAGATCAATTTCACCACAGGAAGCCTCACCCAAGGACACCTTTAAGCCAGGACACCCTGCAGCTCTACAAACCTGATTCCCATCCTCAAGGCTGTATCCCTTACACATCTGAGAGCAGTTTAATACATTTATCCTACATGGAGCAGCTTAGTTCCCAAGAGTCTCTTCCTTGCTCTCATTTTCCATAGTAAGATAACCTAATGTTTTGGGATTTGGGCAGGAGTATCAAGGGTTGAGATAAAATGAAACTCTGGTGCTGAAAGGGATTTTCCTTTGAAAGGTTGGCAAGAAATCGATGCAAAGCAACTGGCCACTCTTGCCAGCTACACAAACACTTCCATTTGATAACTTCACACTTTTATAACACTGAGGACAGCTTACCTTCTGAATCTCTTTCAGCAGCACACCATCTGTCATGAACTTGATCTGTGTTTCATCTGTAACATTCCCTTCGTATCGGATTTGATACGAAACCACTCTGGGAGGAAACACCAGGGCAGCCACAGGAAGAAGCACAGGGAAAAACAGAGAGTCCATGACATATACAGAGCATCTCAGTGGCACCTTCCTAGCAAGGACTCAGGGTTTTTTTTCTGCTCACCTGTGTGACAGGTTCATTTCCTTAGCGACTCGCTCAGACATGGACACTGCAGCCACGCGCCGTGGCTCCGTGATCCCAACGGCACCGCTGGGACTGAAGGGCAGAAGGAAAGAAAAGAAGGGGTTGGGTTGTTTTTTTTAAAGAGACATGATTCTGCCCCTGGACTCAGCGCTGGTGAGGCCACACCTTGAGTACTGTGTGCAGTTCTGGGCCCCTCAGCTCAGGAGGGACATTGAGGTGCTGGAGCAGGTCCAGAGAAAAGCAATGAGGCTGGTGAAGGGACTGGAGCACAAGTGCCATGAGGAGAGGCTGAGGGAGCTGGGGGTGTTCAGCCTGGAGAAGAGGAAGCTCAGGGGAGACCTTATCACCCTCTGCAACTCCCTGACAGGAGGTTGGAGTCAGGTGAGGGTTGGTCTCTTCTCCCAGGCAACCAGCAGCAGCACAAGAGGGCACAGACTCAAGCTCTGCCAGGGCAGGGTTAGGCTGGTTATTAGGAAGAGATTTTTTAGGGAGAGAGTGATCAGGCATTGGAATGTGCTGCCCAGGGAGGTGGTGGATTCACCATCCCTGGAGGTTTTCAGGATGAGACTGGATGTGGCACTTAGTGCCATGGTCTAGTAACCACGGTAAGGTTGGACTGGATGATCTTTGAGGTCTCATCCAATCTGGTTGATTCTATGATTCTATGAAAGGTGACTACAGGATGTCTACACAATGGTTCTAGACTAAGAAGCATCACTCACAGCATCACTTTTAGTTACAGTTAGAAGAAAAAGACAGAAAGCTTTGGGATTCCCTTCTATTATATGCCAATCATATATCTATCAGTCTGAAGATGACTGGATCATAGAAATGCTTTTTGTCCAGATGTTGACTCTCTAATTCCAGCTCACTGAACTCCAGACCCCTTGGACATCCCTCTGGAAATGGGATCCACTTCAGAAGAACCCAGGCTGGGGCAGCAGTAGGCTGCACCTTGATGCAGCTCACAAGAAGCATCTTACAATGTGCCCAAGCTCATAAATGTCACCAAGTGATGAACCACAGCTATTTTCAAAGATATTCTTAAGAAACAAACACATTTTCTTGCAGAGGTAAAATCAAACTTCTACAAGCAGAAGTTAAACTCTGAGATGGGCAGACATTAAAGCTCTTCTGCACAAAACAGTTCAGCCACATCAGAAGTGACTGAGCTCTGCCTGAATTGCCCTAATTCCATCTGCTGTATACAAAATCCTACCTGGCATAACCAGCCTCATAGAGAAACTGAGGCACTTGTGTGGTTTTACCACTTCCAGTCTCTCCACAGATGATCACAATGGGATTCTCATTAATGGCTTCCATGACGACTTGCTCTTCAGCAAGGATTGGGAGCTTTAGTCTTGCTTCCTAAACAATATAAAACACATGTTTTAGTTGCATTGTTTCTCACTGCCTTTTTGTTTTCCTCAGGATTGAAAGCTGTTACCTTCCTTAGTCCATAAAACCCACAGAAAGGAATTCTGCAGCTTTGTGGCACAAAAAGCTCTAAACAAGTAATATCACACCAGCATGTCCAAAAAATCAAAGTCTTCTTCCAAAAAGCAGCTTCCCAGAAAGCAGCTGGCAAACCCTGTGTTTTGACTTGTGAAACTTCAGAGTCCTTTGAGTTTCTGATTGTAGCACTTCAAGGGAAAACTCATTTCACTACTGTACTGTCTGCTCAGACACACACAGAGCTTTTCCCATTTCTACATGACACCTTGCCTACAACAGATGGGATAAACCCTTCTAGCACAAGATACAACATAATGGAAAGCTGAAAGTGACTTCACATGATTTCCCAGCAGTGATTAAAGACTGCTAATAGATCTGATACATAGAGAAAAATGCTTATATCCTAAAACAATCCAAATCTTTTTTCTGCTTAGAGAGAGGCTTAAAGCTCAGACATGGACCTGCACCACTTTCCAGGCCAAGGTCCCTGAGTGCACTCTGCTGTTGTGCTGGATTAGCAAGACACACAAGATACTGCTACAGTGTCTTCAGGGACCCAATCTGATGGGAAAAATCATCCTTTCCAACCCCTTGATAAGCACTTGACTGTTCCCAGAGCCTCACCTGAATCTCAGGAGACCTGTCCACTGGGATGAAAACTGCAGGTTTGCAGGATGGTTTGCTGGAGGCTGTTTGGGACACAGGCACAGTGGGAGCAGCTGGTGGCTGGTCAGCCACTGCCTTCCTCACTCCTTCCTCTGGCTTTTCAGCAGCATTCACAGCACTGCCTGAGGACTTCTCAGTTTCTTGTTTCTGCTCTTCCTCCTCCTCCTCAGAGCTACTGGGCTCTTCCTCAGGCTCCGATTCTGAACCTGAGCTGTGCTTCCTCTTGTTTGCACCACTGATGCTCCTGATCTTCCCCGGCATGTCAGTCCTTGGCTCCTGCATCACCCTAGAACAAAACATCAGCATGTGAACTGTGTTTTGGTCAACGTTCTCCAGCCACATACATCTTCCACACAAACCAGGATCTTCATTCTTACAATTGCTTTAATCAACTCAGCTGAGCTGATTGCTGGATTCATTTCCAAGTACACCCTATCCTGATATTTATTCATTTCTTCTGAAGGCATCTTTGTTGTTTAATTTGTTTCAACTTCTGCCAAAATGCAGCTCTTGCTAAATCCATCTCTTGACAAATCTAGTAACTAAGGACCAAATGATAGATGTTTCACAATACAAAAGAAGCAAGTAAACCAATTTTGTAGTTTAACAGCATTTGTAAGAGGCTACAGATCTAACTGTCACCCACCTCATCCCTTATGAAAGTTCTTTTAACTAACACCCTCTCAACAAGAAAATAACCACCATATAATCAGATAAAAATAGAAAATTATTTCACTCTACCCATTCTGAGGAGCCTTTACACAGCAAGAACAGAAGTAAATCAAGGAAAAGCAGCTCAGAATGTTGCTGTTCAACTACAGTGGTTCTGCCCCCGAAACACTTTACCTTTTGGCCTGATACATGCGTTCCCCAACACCCAGCTTGGAAGTAGTGAACAGGAGTTTCATTTCTGCCTCAGAAGCCTGGACCTCATTCAGCTGGTTCAGCAACTCAGCTCTCTATTTGAGGAAAAACAACCCAAATCAGTGCTTATTGTCACCAAGAAATAATTTCATTTCAAGACTTGCTCTTGAGCACTACAGGGTGTGCTCTGTGCTTTGGCAAATCCTGCTGTGGAGTCGTAAAGACCTTCCTGCTGCTAGATGGTTCCCCATGAAGATTTCAGCCCTGCACTAGAGCAAAAATAGAAATGGGGACTTGACCCTCCATCACTACAATGAGCAGCTCAGCTGCATCCTTCAAAGAAAATGGATTTGAACTGAAATGCTGGAATGAGGGCTGGAGCCATGGGAGCCTCCCTTAACTCCCTCACGTGGGACATGGTGCTGGCAGGAGGTCAGACAGCCACAGTTTTAAACTACCTCCAAAATCAGAGTTCCTTTGTCAGGGCCATTATTCAAACAGTAAAAGGAACAGCAATTTTGCCTGGAAAGGTTTTACAAAGACAGAAAAGCTCTATTTCCACAGAGAAAGTAGAGAAGAGCTGGAGCTAAGTATTTCAGAGGCACTGGAAGCAGCAGTTAGGGGAGAATCAAGGTTTGCTTTCTGCAGCAGGACAAAGCTGCTCACACAACTTGTCTCACAGAGTGATTTAAAATGTAATAATGTCACTGACTCTCTCAGGGATGTACTTCACAGCACTTCTGCATTCAGCCAGGGTCAAAGACAGAATGGGAACCAGAATACAGAAATGATAAGTTCCTGCAACATCTGATCCACTGAGAGGGATAGGAATGCTCTTCCCCACTGGAACTGTGCTCAGGAGCCCATGGGTGGTGGCATCTTTGCCACAATGTCCAGCAAAGGGGTGGGTGATGCTGTTGTAACATAACCTTCAGCACCTGCGTGTTCCTGACAGTTCACACCCCCAAACCACTCACTGGCCCCACAGAGCCATCACCAACCTCAGCTTCCACACCAGGACAGCACCTGCACCACCTACCAGGGACTGCAGTGTCACAGCACAAGGGAACCCTCACCACCTGCCCATCTTCACCCACTGACATTCAATTAGCCTTTTAAGAGAAGTCACAAAGCAAGCAGCAACATACCTGTTTTTTCTTCTCCTTCTGCTCCAAAATCTTCTGCAGGTTTTTCTTCTGTTTCTTGCTCAAGGGTTTCTTCTGCTGTTGCACAACACTCACAGCTTTCTTCTTCTTTGCTTTTTTTGCTGGCAGGACCAGGGCATTGCTTTCATCAATTCCCTTCAGTGTTGCTCCATCTGAAAGCAAGGGTTTGATTATTCACTTGTGCCAGGTGGATTATTTTCAGCTCACTGCTGAACAGGCTTAGCAAACACCATACCAGATTTAGCTGTTTCAAACAAGCATAACCCTCAACCCCAGCCAAAAAAATAAATCCTGCACTGTCAGCAAGGGCAAAAATCCATAAAACTGGAGGACTTGATAACCCTGAGCTTACTATAGCCCTGAGGGCAATTTCCATTGGCTTATGTAACAACACTATGCAATTTCTACCTTTTTACCCAATTTCAGGGTCAGGGAGCAGCACAGGGGACAGAGTGCCTTGGGGTGAGCCCACAGCCTCCTGCCTGGCCCATACTAAAATCCTGCATTACAATAATACAAATAGGCTAATAAACTTGGAGTTTTAAAAAAATAATATTTGAGAACACAAATGGTAACCATAAAAACATTTTGAACAACTGCTTTAATCAATAATGGAACCACAGAATGTCCTGAGTTGGGAAGGACCCAGGAAGGATCAGCAAGTCCAACTCCTAAACCACTTGCAAGGCACTAATTCCTTTAATAAAGCTGTTAGTGTAAGGCCTGTAAAATACTTTAAAACAGCTTTAATGTTTTGCAGAATCACAGAATATTCAGAGCTGGAAGGAAACCCCCCAAGGACACCCCAAACCTGCCAGGAATACCTCAAACTCCCCAAGGATACCCCAATCCCCTAGGAAAATCCATACTTTCACCCTGCAATGTCTGGGTTTTGAAGAACAGAGGCTTTGCCAGTTACTTTGTTGTCACCATTTCCATCTGAACTAAATGTCTCAGTATTTGTCTGATACTCATACTCATTCAGTGGCCAGAACCCAAGAGGACCACGGAGTCCAACTTTGTAAGTGTAATAAAAATACAGAACCACAGAATTTAGGGGTTGGAATGGACCTTACAGAACAACTAGTCCCAACCCCCTGCCCTGGGCAGGGACACCTCCTCATTAGATCAAGATGCTCAAGGCTCATCCAGCCTGGCCTTGAACACCACCAGGGGGCAGCCATCCACTTCCCTGGGCAACCTGTGCCAGTGTCTTGCCACCCTTAGAGTAAAAACCTTTTTCCTAATATCTAACCTAAATTTCCCCTCCTTCAATTTGAACCCATTACCCCTTGTCCTATCACTGCAGCTCCTAACAAAGAATCTCTCCCCAGCTCCCCTGCAGCACCTTCAGATACTTAAAGTTTGCTCTGAGGTATCCATGCATCTAACTTCCTTACAGCAGCTATCTGAGGGACTGTTGCCATCTCCAGTGTTTTAAATATAATAAACCCACAAGAAATACCCTCCTGGGTCAGTTTCTCTAACCTACTATTCTAACCCTGACTGTGGCAATAGGATGCACCATTTATGGATACATTGCTGTCATATGACATAAAATACAGACTGCAGAACATGGCCTGATGTTTTAGCGATGGCAGTACAGCTTTGCTAAGAAACAACCAGTGTGTCTCACCACGCTTAGAGTAGAAGACTTTTTTCTCACATTCAACCTAGACTTTCCCTCCTTCAGTTTGAACCCATTAGCCCTTGTCCTATCATTGCAGCTCCTAACATAGAGTCCCTCTCCAGCTCCTCGTAGGCCCTTCAGATATTGAAAAGTTGCTCTGAGGTCTCCACATAGTCTTCTCTTCTCCAGGCTGAACAGCCCCAACTCCCTCAGGGAGTCCTCATAGGGGAGATGCTCCAGCACCCACATAGCAAAGACCTGACAGTAACTCCAGCCTTAGCGACACTACACTCCCTTTCTCCCAAGTTCGCGGCAGCGAACACAACGCCCGAGGAGAGCCGGTGAAACGAACGGCACCTCCGAGCTCCAGCGGCAGTTCCAGCGGCTCTGCGGGCG